TGATTTCGTTACGAATATAAACTACCATGCAGAGTGAATTCGTGACGAAACAGGCTTACGGGCGGAGTCGATTTCCTGGACGAATCATGCTACTGCTGATTTATTTCGATTACAAACTCATGCGACACTTTGGGCTCACGCCCGCGCGACGCCAAGTGCTAGCATGAACTTGATTTTCTTACTCTTATTGATGCTGGTTTTGATTTCGCTATTCTGAAATTCATGCACACTTGATGCGCGCGCGAGCGCGCAAATGTGCATGAGCGATTTTTTTCGGTTAGAAAAGGTCGTATATGTTGCATAACTGCGAAGTCGGGATGTTCGTACGAAGAATCTCATGTTACCACTTGGGCGTTGGTGAGGTGCGGGCGCCAAGTTTCGTGCGGGGCGGCATTTTCTTTCTGGGAGGGGCGGGGACTTTATGAATGTTTTTTTTATTTCCAGGTTTACCGGGGACAAAACATCTTTTTTCAAAAAAGTATACAAAAAGACTGAATTTCGTACGATAATCAGACGTGTCTACAAAGATAATTCGTTACGAAATCACTCCAGCTATGGCGACGTGATATCTCGTTACGGAAATCAGCTTACTGCCGAACCTCGAATGATTTCGCTTCCCGAATCAGCACCTGCAAAATCGATAATGATTTCGTGACGAATAATCATGCTTACAACTTGGTGTGGGGCGCCAGTGGTTTGCCGCATGAAACTGATTCCGTTAAACGAATATCAAGTCTCACAAAAGTGATTTCGTTAACCGAATCAAGGTCTACAAGTGACATTTCGTCTGACGAAATCATAGTGAACATGCGAGTAAAGGACTAGAACACTAATTAAATATATTCACACATAATTAAATTAACTTAGAATGATAACCAACTAATAATCACGCAAGTGTCACGCCATATCACTTCCGCAGTAGTGATTTCGTAACGCAAAATCAAGCGTTATGCCTACATTGGCGCGCCGCGCACCGCGCGCCAAATGTGTCTGCCATATTTCGGTGAACGAAAATCACTACGCAGTAGCTGATTTCGTTCCACGATTGACTACGCCAGTAGACTTGATTATGGCGTCCACGCAATCACCTCCAGTAGTTGAATTTCACGTAACGAACATCCCTTATTGTTAGACTCTGATTTCGTCTACGAAATTCAAGAATTCAGTGTAACGAAATCAGTTTCATGACGACAGTTTGCGCGCGCGCGGCCAGACGCCAAGTGTAGCAGCGACTTTCGTAACGAATGACCGCAGTAGAATCTGAATTCGTAAGACGACATGGCTAGACATTAGTCTGATTTCGCTAAACGAAATTACTTTGTAACTTGTATTCGTAAACGAAATTACATTTTGTAGGACTCGATTTCGCTGACGAACATTACTTTGATAGACCTGTGATTCCGTACGAAAATCAACTTGTTAGGACTGCAGTTTCGTATACGAAGACAACTCAATGAAGTTGCGTAACAAACAATGAGTCATGCGACACTTGGCGCCCCAACGCAAATGGGCGCACTCTGCCTGATTGCCGGAAATGTGTGTGATGTGTGCGAAAGCCGATGTGTGCGCTGTGTGCTGCCGCGTGGATCTGTGTGAGGCAGCCGGGACCCGGACCGCAGCACTGTGTCGTGACGTCCGTGCGTGGGCGCGTGTGCGTGTGCGTCCAACGCCTGACCACGAACTGGGCCGTTGTGCGTGTACGTGTGCGCCACCGATGTACCGTGCTGTCGTATGACGTGTGCGTGGTGCGGTTGAATGAGAGTGAGGCACGAGAGACGGGAATCGCGATGATGTATGTGTCGTTGTGTGCGTCCTCGGTGCGTGGTGCGTGTGCGCTCGTAGGTCGTGCCGCGTGTCGTGGTGCCGTGTGGTGCGTCGGAAGAGAGAGAGAGAGGGAATGGGGAGATGTCATGTGTTGAGGTGTCTCGGACCCTGTGGCGGTTAGTGCCTGTGTGCGTCGTGCCGCGCAGGCGCGCGACCCCGGGCGAGTAGGATCGGAAGGGCGTTGGCCCACGACAGCGCGTAGTGGGCGTTGTGAGAGTATGAGAGAGGAGGGAAATGGAATGGTGATGATGTCGTGTGGCGTCGTGCGTTGTGGTTGGTTGCGTGGTGCGTGTGAAGAGGAGAGAGAGAGATGAGAGTAGACGAGAGAGATGAGAGATGAGAGAGGATGAAGAGAGGAGAAGAGAGACGAAATGAGATGAGAGCAGAGAGAGAGGGAAAGGGAAATGTGTATGTGTGTGTTGTGTGTGTGTGTGTTGCTAGTGTGTGTTGTGCTTGTGTGTGTATGCGGTGAGTCGAGGAGACGAGAGCTGTCAGACGGGTGTCGTGTGTGTCCGAGTTCGCAGAAATAAGAAACGGAGAAGAGAGAGAGCTGTGCGCTGGTTGTCGTGTGCTGAGAGAGAGGAGAGAGCCTCAGAGAGGTGTTGTGTTGTGAGAATAGAGAACGAGAGCGAAGAAGAGGTCGTGCGCGTGTGTGTGTGTGAGAGAGAGAGGAGGCAGCCTCGAGAGGTGTGTGTGGTGTGTGGAGAATATTATGAGAACAGAGACCAGAGCTGGTGGGTCTAAGAACGCGTGTGACATTGTGCTCATTGTGAGAGAGAGAGAGGAGAGAGAGAGCTCAAGAGGGAGCTGTGTGTGTGAGACACTACGAGAACGATGAGAGAGAGCTCGTGCGCGACGTGTGGTGTGTGTGATGGTGTGAGGAGAGAGTGAGCCATCAGAGAGGTGTGGTGTGTGGAGAAATTAGAGAACGAGAGAGAGACGAGAGAGAGAGAGAGAGCTTGTGCGACGTGTGTTGTGTGATGAGAGAGAGAGCCGAGAGGGCGCGCGATGGAGAGGCGATGAAGAGAGGATAGACGGCCAGCAGAGCGTCCCGTACGCAATCATGCGTGTAACGCGTCAAGTCGCGGCGATTCACTGTTGTGAAGTGGATGTCGCGACGCGTAGGCCTGGAGGCTAGGCGACCGGTTCCCGGTCACGCGGAGCCAGCTGCGTAAATTGCTATCGGCTATTGCCCGACTCTCAATCACAATGACGTCTCCAAACACAAGACGCATAATTAAAACAAAGATGCGTGCAATTTTGCTGTGGTAAATCATTTTGAGTTTTAAAGTCAATAATCAGAGCAGCCTTCTGTCATTGTCATTCCCGTGTTACTATCTGACTCGGTAACCACAGCTGCTCTAATAACAGACTTTACGCATCATTTAGTACTACACTCCTGTACGCTAGTCAGATGAACGTCCTGTGTTACACACTGACCTGATTTCTGTGGTCGCGACTATTAGTGCATTACAGTAAAAACCCGCGCGTATAAGAACATAGAGGTTTGTTCCAAGTTGAGCCTCAACATGTTTCTTATATAAATGGCTGTGCTTACTGAAAAATTAGTGACTCAAAGTTCTTGAAATTAGGCTTTCATTGTTTCTACTTTTATATTACATGCTACTAGCTGAAACCGCGGCTACGCGCGGGCTTAGTCCACTCTGATGCATGTGTTACCAGTACAGTAGTGTTATGTGTAAGGTGTTATATGGAGAGTTAGTTGTTGAACACTGTTTTTGTTTATGCGGTTGAGATATTATTATATGATATATATAATATAATTATTATATAATATTATATTATTTAATAGATATGATCTGTTATTGTGAGCATGGCAATTGGGCAATTGGCCATTGGCATTGTTGATTGCATCGAATTGTTGAGCGGCTCGTCTTTTTTATTTTACCTGTGTTTCTTTTTAAGTCTTCTATCTGCATGGAACACATCAAGAACCTGACTTTAAAAATCTTAGCCTAAACAGGCTTTCTTATGTAAAGGGGTCTGAATGGGGAATTTTAGCACTAACATGTTCTATAAATCTATGTTCTTATACGCGGTTTTTACTGTACGTGCACATGATAGATGTCTCGCGCTACCGCAAGAAAGTCCATTAGAAGATGGCAACGGTAAACATTAAAGCAGAACGAGAAATTGTACAGTGCATGATTTGGTGAATACGAAGGTTTCGAAGACATTTTTAATCGTTTACTCTAGACAATTCCTGTTACTCAGCAATACGTAGGTACAGCGGCGGATTAAGGCTACACTGGTGGCCCTAACATCTGACCAATCTTGGGTGCCGCTCGAAAGTAATACTTCTGAGAATATCTTGTTTCATTAGTTAATAATACACAGTGAGTCGAGCTCTTTTCGTTGAAGCCTAACTAATCTATTTTGGGTTTTTACACGATTGCAGTTGTGAGAAAGACCTCTCTGTTTGTGCAGTTAGTTGTATAAAAAGTATTCTTAATCGCAATTTCAACATTTCTGAAAGGCACTCGCTCTAGTTTAGTTTCTGTAATTGTGTTGTAAAGTCATGTTGAGTGAAAGAATGTTTTCTTGGTGTTTTTAAACTATGAAGATACATTAGAATGGAATGGCTGAAGCTCGATTAAGACCAAAGTGTTGTCATGCCAGGCAGTGGGCCCCTTGTGGTACACCTGGGAATTGTCCGCAAATGCAGACGTTATAACTCCGCTTTGCTAATCTGAGGGTGCGGGTTTAACCATTACTGGGGTCTTTTTAATCATTACTGGGGTCTGCGTCGGCTCGGACTAACTGGGAAGTACAAATCTTTTTATTTTCCACCTTTTCCACTTTGGTGGTGCCACTCCTTGCCCTTGGTGTCCCCTAAGCCAGTGCTTAGTCTGCTTAGTGGTTAATCCGGCACTGGGTAGGTATCATGAAAGTGGGAAAAACACTGGAAAACTCTCGCAATAGTTACTTTAAAGTAGGGTCAAATATGCAGTCTGTACGCTCCTAGTTAGCGCACGCTAAGTTATCGCGCGTGTGACGCGCGCTAAAATTCGTAGTCTGTACGGGGTATTAAGCTGACCTTGGAGTAATCATTCTGACCTTGGAGTAATCAGTCAGAATGCTTACTCCAAGATCCAAGAGCTGACGTAACGGATGGCCTGCTAAACATGGGCACGTACATGTTGGTTATAGATTACTGCTGGAACTTCTCCGAGGCAGGATGATAGAGGATAGTCCCCTGAGCAGTAGACAGCTACTGTACAGCCAGCATTCTCATACGATCAACACGGCCCATAGCTTCACAGTCACGTCGTACAATGTGCTAGGTATGGATGTTTGTAATAGTCTTACTGGGAATACCAGCCAATGTAACAAATGACAAATGCTATGTAGGCCTACTATGCCATGGAGGCACACCGATGTGTCTCCGGTAACATTATTGTCCATACATACCAGGTAGAGTAGTACATGATTTGTAACTCATTAAAACTAGTACTAAGTCAAGAACATATAGTATTAACCAATATGGGTCTTTGTAAATGCGGATTAATGTTCATCTGCTATTAGTGCAAAAGCTACACATTGTTTACTGTGTTACTGTAGGAAATATAGCTCTGTGATAAAATTGTACCTGGCTTTAGTTTGTCTTTAGTTTTGTTGGTTTTGGCTGGCGTTACTGTGGCCCAATACAGAAGAGTCAATATCAACTATAGCTAGGCTATAGTAGCTCCAAGAAATGTCAATCATATGTTGAATGAAAGTTATATTTAAGATGGGTATCTGTGTTATTCTTGCAGCCTTGTTGGACTAGGCTTTAGTATGCCGTTGACACATAAGCATAATATGCATAATATCAAGAGCGTATAAAGATACTTAATACGCTCTTGATAATATCAAGAGCTAATAATACCTAATAAAGGTATACTAATAAAGGTATTATTAGCTCTTGATAATATGCATAGCTGCTAATATTCGTGTTAATTGTGGTCTAGCTGAGCACGCGCTGTATCACGACATCCACATGTACGAGCAGACGCCCGTGAACCTACGACCGATGAATGCCAGACATCCCCTCATTCTCGCCGAGCTGCTGCTGCACAATAGGTGAGAGGTCGCATAGAATTTACTTAGTAATATAATAAATATACAGATCAAATTTTGATTCGATAAATGTTGATGTCACCGATTTGTTGTCAGTGACATTATTTGTCTGCAAGAGGTGAGTCAGGAGTACTACACTACCCAACTCTTGCCAGACCTACAAAGGCAGGGATACGCGGGTGTGTTTCACCGACGAGCAGATGACCTGGGTAAGGGATATTACGGGTCATTTCTGACGACAAACGTGTAACCACTGAAACCTGGTATGATTTTAGTAGGCCTTCATTTGAAAACTTACTGCACTGTAACATTTTGTCAAACAATTTATCAGTCATAATATCAATATGTATTATCAACTACTCTAGCTACTATTGGTATTATTGTCATCATATTTATTATTATTATTATATTAGTAGATGTATTATCGATTACTTTATTATTGCCATTATTCGTTATGCTTCACTAGGGCAGCCTATATGTTATAAGCAGCAGCGGTTTGAGCTGGTTCAGGAGGAGACCCACGCCGTGAGGGAGCTGGCACGCGACAAGCTCTATGAGACGGGTGTGCTACGGGAGGATGACGATGTGGATGCGGAGGAGAGCATCATGCGGAAGCTGCAGCATCCCTGTCTGCTCGTGCTCGCGAAGCTGCGCTGCAAGCTCACCGGCAGGCTGCTCACCGTCGCCAACGTTCACACGCTGTGGGGAGAACTCGGCTTTCCCGAGATACAGGTCGTGCAGGTGGGGAATGTAGCTCGTTACACGATCATGATGTACCTAGTACCCAGTAGTGTATCTAGTATCTAGTCCAGGGGCGGATCCAGGATTTTTGAAAGGGGGGTGTCCAGGAAGAAATAAAGGGCACTTTTTCCTGCTTAATTTTTCTGGTGTTTTAAAAAGCTGCAGAATTTTTTAGGGGCACTTGAAATTAAAGGGGGTCTGGACCCCTCGGACCCCCCACCCCCCAGATCCGCCCCTGTAGTCTATGTATCTATGTAGACTGTGTAGTGTGTATCAGTGTTTAGTCGTTATAGTGGGAATGCACAGGAATTGTGGACCTAGTACATGACCTAGCTGTAGGTAATCCTAGCAGGTAGGTACAGCTAGGATGATTATCTCCCAAAGAAATCAGTGTTTATGTTGGCGTTTATCCGGGTGACACTGAAATGGTAGTGCCCGAGTTTCAATTCCGAATGGCCGCATGTCATGCAAGCCGTGGTATGACCGAACATCTGCTACATGAAATTTACAGTGTGGATCAACTGGTCACATTATGGCCAACATTGTGTTGTAGATAGCGTTGTCGTTCCGCAAGATGGTGGAATACGCCGGCGGAGCAGACGCCACATACATCTGCTGCGGGGATTTCAACTCGACGCCATTCCTTCCCGGCTATTACCTAGTGAAGCACGGGGGGCTCAACGACCACATGCTAAACATCTGCTCAGCGCCAGACTCCACTACAGCAAGAAACGCAGAGGTATTGCTACTTGCGATCTTATTGTGACTGTTCCAACGAAACTCAGGTTTGATTGCCCTGTCGTAAATGCTCTACGAAAACATATCATATGTACATGCACGCTGATTCCTTTGTGGCTAACCAAACCAAATGCAAACGCTGGCGCTTTGACGTGATCATGACGATTCGCGATTTAATGGTAAAACAGATACTAGCACTGTAACGGGACATAACGTACATTCGTATTGGCATCTTGATCGTAGCTCTACAATACATGGGTATAAGAACAATCCTGACTGAGTTCATCTCTGTGATTTGTTAAGCAGATTGGACTCTCTAGAGGGTGGCAGATTACGAATGAACGAATGATGCACAAAGTGCACTGGTGACAGGCGAACATTACAGGATGTATGCTACATTTTCCCTCATGGGCTAAAATAGATTTGCACTTTTCAGGCTTCTAAAATAATGGACATATTTGCTGGTGCTATATGTCACTCGGCAAAGGTGAAGAGTGCTTACGAGACAGTGGTAAGTGGTAGGAATTGACCATTTTCCCGGCATTTTCTATGCTGAATATCCAGAGTGATGGTAAATTGGTAATGCCAAAACCGATTGTCAGTGCAGCTCCCAACAAGCAGTGTTACTGCTAATTAACACTTTCCTTCTCCTACAGCTGGGCCAGGAGCCGCGCATCACCAATTGGGCCCTGATGGACTGGCCACTGTCCCCGGAACTGGGAATATTCGAGGAGTGCCTAGACTACATCTGGTACAGCCATGGTAATCTACGATCGTGTGCAGTGCTGCAAATGCCAGAGCGTGAGGACATCGCGAGACACTCTTGCATTCCTAGTGTGATCTTCCCATCTGATCACATTTCCATACAAGCAGTCATGCAGTTCGTGGGATTGCTGTATTATTGAATCTAATGAATGCACAATGGAATTTGACAAGTACGTATCTGATATTTCTAATGTTTAAGAGTTTCAATCAATATATTTAATTTCTTATGATTATATAAATTTTCATATTAGCATATAATAGTATACTAGTATATATATAGTATAAATTTGAATATACCTCGAGTTTCCAATATTATTTGTTTTAATTGAAATGAAGTATCACATATATAGAATTATGATATTTCCTTAATCATAAATAAAATTATAAAGGAAATCATGAAAGGAAGGAAGCCTTATGTAATTTCTTTGTCATTGGTCCTGAGATATTATAGAGTAAGAGTGGCTGGTAGCCTTCCAGGGTATATATCAATGCAGCACATAGATAACGTACATTTGCTATTATACCAGCTGCTATTATGTTTGACATGGTCCATATTTTTTAATTAACACGTGTGTGCGTGCATGTGTGTGTGTGCGTATGTACAATATAATAATTGTAGATCTTTTACTTAAAAAATACCACAAGTTTTAAATTAAGAGAAAACATTACCTTGCTAGTGCCGGTATCCAATTCGGTGAGACTCAGAAATAGCTCTATGAGGCCTGGTTGAGTTTTTACACAGGTAGCTAGGAATTCGAGAATTGCTATCTTCAGTCTCACATCCTGGTGAGGGATAAAAATAGTTCAGAGTTAGAGGTGTACTATTTTACACATGCTCATTTGTTTGTTAATGCTGGTTTATATATAGCTATTTAATTGCTAGACAACAATATTATGTACCTGTTATTGGTGCATAAACTGCTATGATATTAGATTTGAAACGTGTTTGCATATTACGAGTGGGTGTGTACGTGGAAAATATTTCCGCCACTTACCTCAGTTGGGAACTGTAGTCTTAAGACAAACACATCTCTTACTGCCTCTGCAGAACTTCCTAGGCAGGCCAACAGTGACATTGGAAAAACCTGCAAGCAAAATTAATACAATCATCTGGTAAAAATAATGAACATCATATTACATTTGCCAAACGATTTTCCAAACAAATTTCGCACCACTATGCTTCTAACAATAAACATTTATGCAATATATTGTACAGATATGCTCAATGCTATTACAATGCTTATTTACAGTGAAGAGGTTGCAAGCTTACATTCTTACTTTTACCTACGTCATTATATTAATAATAATGATAATTTCCTGATAGCAACAAATAATTCTGACACGTCCAAGTTTAACTTCAGCCGACTGCAGCTTACCTTGTGAGACCCAACTAACCGTACTATCTACTCTCTCACTAACCACGCACCACCAAATAGCTGTGACTGTACTAAACCACATACCCGCACGATTTAACTAACCATACTAACCGTACCAATAAACTAACTCTACAATCTAACCGTTCACCTACAATCATAAACCGACTCAAAGTGCAACAACCGCCGATAGAGGGCGCCAGTACGATCATACGACGACCGGCGGGGTGCCAGCGTGCTCGCACAACGATCGGGGGGGTGGGGGTGCAGGAGGGAGGCGAGACTCACGTACCACGGCGACGCGCTTCAGCAGCAGGGTGGCGAGGGCCGGCAGCCGCGGGTCGTAGCGGTGGTAGACGTACTGCGCGATGGTCGCGGTCGCGTGGCGCCGCTGCGGCCCGCTCGCCGGCTGCGCCGCTCCCAGCGTCTGCTCGACGGGCGACGCGGCCTGATCGCCCGGCTTCAGCAGCAGCAGGCGGTTGAGCACGGACAGCGCGAAGCGGAGGAGTCCGATTAGCTCGACGCCGGCACCTTCCACCCAGCTGCGGAGCGACGGCAGACAGAGAGAGAGAAGGGAGAGAGCGATGAGTGCACGTGCGAGCATGAGAGAGGTGCACGTTGTGTATTTATTATACGGTGTGGTACTATTTTATGTTGTGCTGTGTGTTGCTGCTACTGTTTTGTGTCGTTGTATGTTGCTGTTGTTGCTGTTACTGCTGTTGCCTTCGTTGTTGTTGTTGTTGTTGTTGTTTGTGTGTGTGTGTGTGTATGCGTGCGTGAATGCGTGTGCGCGTGCATGAATGCGTGTATGTGTGCGTGCGTGCATGCGTATGTGAATGTGCGTGCGTGCATGCGTACGTGAATGTGCGTGTGTGCATGCGTACGTGAATGTGCGTGTGTGCATGCGTACGTGAATGTGCGTGTGTGCATGCGTACGTGAATGTGCGTGTATGCGTGCATGAATGCATGTGTGTGTGCATGCGTACGTGAATGTGCGTGCGTGCATGCGTACGTGAATGTGCGTGTGTGCATGCGTACGTAAATGTGCGTGTATGCGTGGGTGAATGTGTGCATGCGTGCTTGAATGCATGTGTGCGTGCATGCATGCGTACGTGAATGTGCATGCGTGCATGCGTATGTGAATGTGTACGTGCGTACGTGAATGCGCATGTGTGCATGCATACGTGAATGTGCGTGTGTGCGTGTTAATCTGCATGCAGACTGTTTGATGTCTTTTCTAAATCATCTACAGATTTATGTTTCTGTTATTAGAAGTGGATTATACAATAGTCTTGCATATAAAGTTGTGCATTAACCTACAGATATACTGTATAACGTGGCTCTTCTAAATCCAGCTTATTGACTCTAAATCATGAAAGTGATATGCAGGGTGCGAAATTAACGGAGTCAAATACTCCCTGATTTGACATATGCAGGAGTCCGTGTGACTCCCTGAAAATTCTGCCATACTAACTAGTTCGTTCCGGAGCACGACTTCGCGGAATTACTGTATTTTTTCAGCTAATGTCCAAAGAAAATTTGGCAGACGTGCAACTGCATGAATCTTAAAAATAAGCACATTTTTTTAAGCGTATAATTTTGAACCTCAGACTGCGGACTCCCTCATTTTGCTGCGGACTCCCTCTTTTTGAGGGTAGGGAGTCCGTTCCCTTGTTCAAAAGTTCATTTCTACCCCTGGATATGTGTGTACAGGTTTGACGTGACTGACCGTTAATGTTTTTTTTATCACAAATCACCTACAGATTTATAGTTTCTGCTTGCCAGGCTTTAAGCATTAATTTTACGGAACAACTAGCTGCCACGATCTTATTTTTCTTTATGTCAAAATCAACTGATCACATAACAGGTATTTCCCAACAGTGCCATCTATACATAGGTGACCATGAACGTAAATGGCAGAACGTTACAGTTTTGCATCCCCGAAGAGACACGGATCCTAGGTAGTGACAGAAAACTCTGGCAGTGTGATGATGTAAACATGGTGAGACATACCATCAGACAGAGTGTTCGACTTAATATTAAGTTACTACATGTGTGAACCCCTTGCCTTGTTTGCTGCTCTAATGCCACCTGTACCTCCTCGACTCCCACGGACACAATGCTGAGCAGTGTGTTACCTGCATCAGTGTAGAGCAGACCGTCACAGCACACCTACACAGACAAAGGGGCCTTCGGTGAAAATACGTCTTAACTAAGAAAGAAACTGATGTGATTGCGCGAAGTGACACGCACACTTTTAGCATTTTGTAACCGTACAAGACACAACAGAATTACAACGGAACTGTTGTGCTAGACTGATAAATGCCTTGCTGTTCTGGAAATCCGTCTGGTCTGCCATAAACCAATTATGTTTCCTTTCACCGATGTGTGTTTTGCTATATAATCCAATATAGTGCACTGGAAACAAATGTGCTTGTCTTTAAACCTATGTGCTGCATAGAAAGCACAGGTACACTAACTAACCTGTTGAAGTGTGAACTGTTGGGATTCTGATGCCGACTTTTCAAGAGTCAGTATGTTGTGAAAGATTTCGAGACATTGCTGACCTGTTGATGGAAATCACCACACTACACATGTGAACACAGCTCTATAAACTGTAATACCAATTTTCAGAACCAACATCATATTTATATTGAACAACAATTGCTATGCACCACAACTAAAATCCGGTCGAACCGAACATGAACTGTACTATCAAGTAAGATTACAATCCTTTACGACTCCTCTTAGATACACCAAAGATTTGGACTAATTCACTTTTTTCCCCAATTTTGTGTGTGTGTGAGATGGCACAAGATTAGAATGAGCTAACCTATCAGTTGCTTCTGGGTAGGATCATTATATCTCCACTTATGGAAGCCAGCAAACACGTCTCTCATCATGAACATGAGGCTGGCAACAAGACTGCTGTTGCAGTTAGTTTGCTCCCACAGACCTTGAATCACCTGCAAGGTATGTAAAAATGCGGCTGTGATTTCCCCCACACTATGCAGCTTGTGATCAGACTACGATGCTAAATCTCACATCATGCATGCCTGTGATTGCGTTCTATTTTACCTGTCGTAAGAGCTGCAGGAAGGCTAGTGTCACTGCATACTCTCCACATGGGCATTCCAGCCCTGCAATTATGCCACCTAGAGTGCTCCTCTCCAGTGATCTCCCCCTAATGACAGAAAATATTTGACTGTATACATGTGCCATTTCATCGCAATGTTCCTCAAGTTGAACCCGTTCACGACGTGCTGTGCACGGTTACACCACCTGGTGGGCAAAATATAGAAAATTTTAACATTTTAGGAAAGTAAGTACCACCTGCTTCTTTAGGGGTGTACATACATGAAACTAGGCTGGATAGAATAAAGCAAACCGAGTAACCGGCACTAGCCACATCGTATTAGATAAGGCATACTATTTAATTTCGAGTTTAAGTTAGAGTTCATTCAGAACACGTGCAAAGTTTTACAGGAATTTGATCACTTGGGGCTTATGTATTATGAATGCAAATCAACAGCGAAACTTACCTAACTATCTGCTGGAGATTTTCCCCGCCAAGGCTCGGAAGCATGCCAGAGTTTGACACCTTCTCCCAGACGAGTGCAGGATAGACAGCAGCTACCTCAGCTGCCACCTGCAGGCAAGCTGATATCAGTTTTAGCGGTGGCTGTGCGATCTGGGATAACCTGAGAATTACAGAAACGACATGTGGTCAGCCTGAATAATTCAAAATACAGAACTCACTCCTTCTTTCCACACACTTCTTACTTGAGCGGTCATTGTACAATTGGCTTGGCACAAAGTTGCAGGACACCATGTGCCTGACATTTGTTGTCGGTTAGTTGAAGTAAAGTTACAGAGAATTTTTCAATGAGATCATGTACCCTGTACCCAGTATTCAAACTGTGGATCAATTATGATGAGAAATGTTTGAGAAAGATACTAAATATACACAAATAAAGTCAAAAATCCATGCAAGCTGCATGGGGACTGATCACTGAGATGTTGAAATGCCAAATACAGCTAAATGAGGACTGTGCTTCCACTACATTAAACATCTAGCATATGAAATGTAACATGCCAACACAAGCAAGACGTAATGACAATACATCCTATATAAATCGAAAAACGTT